GCCATCTTTCTCTCCTTCTATTCTGATCAGGTTTAATGTTTGGCCATTTTGGTTTCTAGTAATCAGAAATGACCTTGTTAATTTTAGATGGTCAGTGGAACTTTAACAATTATCACTTGCTTGATCTTGGCCGACCACATCACTCCATTCGGTGTATGACTGTAGTTCATGACAAAGTCTGGTGTGGTTATCGCAATAAAATCCAAGTTATTCATCCCCGCAGCATGAAAGTAGAGGTATGTTGTGTAATAAAGTAACTCAGCACTCTGGTGTGTTATGAGGAGAACTAAGCTTGTTGAAAGGCTCTCATTCAGGATGTATGAGTCAAGGTGCTTTTGGGTCTTTTCCTTCCTCCCTTTCACAGTGCTCAGATCTCTTTGTTCGTTTTTCTAAGTTATTTAATGCATTCTGTTTCTCTTTCCCCACACTCAAGATGAAGGCTTTTCTTTTCCATGGGAATTATCACAACAAGTTTCATGCGGGTTGACCAATTGCTGTAACATAGTAGTCGAATATGTTAATATAGCTTAAAGATGGAATTACTTTTATTGTTTATTTCCAACTGCCTTCAAACTAAGTGGTTTTGCTTTTGAAAAAGTTTTTCTAACTAACCAACAACTCTGAATAATTTTTAAGAAAACATTTGATGCTCATCCCCGACGTGAAAGTCAGGTTCGTCAGCTGGCCTGGATAGGAGATGGTGTGTGGGTGTCCATTCGTTTGGATAGTACACTGAGATTGTACAATGCACATACTTATCACCATCTACAGGATATTGATATTGAGCCATATGTCAGCAAGATGTTAGGTAAGTATCTCCTACCTACCTTTTCACCCATCTTTTCTACCGACCCATCTTCTCATCCATCTTACCTACCTGCCTACCTTCTCACCTATCTAACCAAACAACCTTTCCATCCATCTTACCAACCTATTCACCTTCTCACTGATGTCACCTACCTACCTACCTACCTTCTCATCTATCTTACCAAACTACCTTTCCATCCATTTTACCCACCTACCCACCTTCTCACCCATCTTATCACCCATCTTACCTACCTACCTTTCCACCCATCTTACTTACCTACCTACCTTCTCACCTATCTTACCTACCTACCTATCCACGCACTGATTTATTTACCTTCCTACTCGCTCTCACCTTTTACTAACCACTTACTACTCGCCTATCCTCTCCATCAACTTGCTCACTTGCTTATCTCCCCGTCTACCAGCCTTTTTAACCATCTCAGCTACTCCATATACATTTTCATTGCTTCCGCGTTTTAATAACTAGTGCAACTAAATATTTAAACTTTCTTGTTGAATGTTACAGTACTTTGTTTTGTCTTTTACAGGAACCGGAAAATTAGGTTTCTCGTTTGTACGTATTACGTCGCTCATGTTAACCAATGACCGTCTCTGGGTGGGAACGGGAAATGGTGTTATTTTGTCGGTCCCATTGGTGGCCGCACGTCCCGCAAGGGATGACGGAGAAGCACAGACAAGTTCCCCGGGGACGGGAGGAACCGGAGGTCCAGGAGGAGCGGTTAGAGTGTACAGCAACGAAGGAAAAGATGGAGACACACCAAGAGGCTCAAGCTTTATGCCTTACTGTTCTATGGTGAGTATGGTAACATTCGTGCATCGATGATTGTTTTTCATTGCAATTCCATCACCGTTTTTAACTACAGAGGATGTCCTTTAGCTCTCTTATTCCAAATTTTTATGTCCAAAGCATGAGAGGCACACTTTCCCCGTTTCAAAATGAATTTTTTGTTTCAGGTTAACGCTCAGTTGTCCTTTCACGGTCACCGCGACTCAGTGAAGTTCTTTGTAGCCGTCCCAGGCTCTATGAAGAGAGTCTCTCAACCAGCGCCATCCAACAGATCAACAAGTCCCAGTGGTCAACCTGCTAAGTCTAGCCCAGAGAAGACTGTGACCGAGTGCATGCTTTTAGTGTTATCAGGGGGAGAGGGGTATGTCGATTTCCGTTTGGGAGACAACGAAGAGACTGCTTTGGAAGAGCAAGGTGGTGATTTGATATCTGTCACAACTCGTGGTCAATCAACCAATGAGAGGAGCCATATTATGGTTTGGCAGGTGTCGGTCACATGATGACTATAGATGTGGAAAGTGTAAGGTCCTGTTTTGGGGTGCAAATAAGGTCAAAAGTGCAGCAGTGTTACAGTTTGTATCACTGGGTAACTAACGCGAGGGGGCCTCAGTATAGTTTTGTGCAGACGTCTTCCATCTCATGGCGCTACAGAGGGCCAGCCATGCCGTTACAGGTTACGTTTTACGAAATAATTGGAAAGTGACCGTGTCCTTGTAAGTCTATGGGATTAAAATTGCTTCACATAACAGGACCCACCTTTCCAAAGCAACAAATAAGGGGTTAAAAATAGTTTTTTTCAAAACTCATTTTATTTGTAGATAAACAGTAACACTCACATTTCACGACAGCAGTGTAATGGCACGTAACCCTTTCTCTCCCAAGTTCTCATTAGTAATTCTCCTCAGCGTCTGCCATGCAATTCTCAAGCTGTTAGTTCGGTGAATTTCATATTGGATTAACAAATAATCTTTGAATTGTTTTTTTCCCCTCGACACTTGTCTGCTTGATATTGTAAGTAGATATTTTGTCTTGGTCACTTGTGAGAGTGAAAGCGTTTACTAATTTCATGGCACTTGTATTAAATATACACGAAAGTTAAACGTAATTCAGTTTTAGTACCTTTTGTAACTGATTAAGTTCGTTGGTCTGGTTCGGTTTTTTTAAGTATTTGTAAATAAGTTTCCAATAATTTCCAGAGTTACGAAATGTATTTTTGGTGGTACGTTACTAAATTAAGCATTAATGTTTACTATTTTCCAAGGGTTATTACCAATAATTATTACTATGTAACGAATTTCAAATCAAAATATATATATCAGGTTTTACAATTGTAATAAATTAGTGGAAAGAAAACCGACCTGAAAATTAGAACGCGAAAGGTTTAATTAAAACTCTTATAAGCATTGTTGACATTTTATTTTGGCGGCAAAGGGTAACGGTGAGTTTTATTGCTGAAGATTAATGCGAAAGAACCTTGAATAGTTCCTATGGGTTTTCATTTTTGTAATCATCGTCCAGCACCTAAAATTTAAGAATTTCTGAGGATATAGCCCCAGACTTAGCTGTTTTCCTTTTTAATTAGAAAAAAAAAATCTGTTCTACACACGCGACAACCGCATTTATCTTACCAAAAGGCAATCCTGTGTCACGTGGCACGTTCATCCAATAGAAAAAGCTTATTTCAATCGCGGTGTAAAAATTCCTGTTTTTGAAAATGACTTTTTCTTGTTCTTGGCCATACAAGGAATGGTAGGACTTAGTGCTAAAGTTTGTTGCAGAAAGTGCAAACGTTTAGTCTTTCTAATATTTTCATTTAGAATTGGCGCTGTTAAGGAAGACCTTGGAGCATGAAAGGTGTCTGTAGCTATATTAGTTTACTCCCAAAATTGTTAGGTTATCATAAGGTATTTCGGTTTGGCTGAGGTATGATTATCGATCACTAGAATTAGTACGTAAACAAAATGTTGGTAAACTTGTATTCAAAATAATTTTCTCTATTACTTGTGACATTCGTTATGTTTTCTGTAGTGTATTGTCTTAATGTTATTATCTTTCTGCCTTGACAGAAGAAGGTTACTGTCGCCCCTGACACAAAGAGATGTTGTTGGTCAAGTCCAATCAAATATTACTCTCAGATTTAATTTATTATCAATAGCTCGTAGCCTTGTTTAGCGTCCAAAAGATATGATAGCTAACTTTAATGAAGGTTAAGTAGATTTTGATTCTATGTATTTATTTATTGTCTGCGGTTTTGTCTATCTGTTATTTTGAACTGATAAAATAGAGGATTAAAAACAGTTTCAGTTTAGACTCAATTCAAGTCTCACTGGTAACGGGGTTGTCCAATTCACTCAAAGTGCAGAACACTTCGCAGTGTGAAAAACAATTGGCACGGTTTGGCAAATACAGAAAATGAACAGGTTTGTGGAAGTCAGCCGTAACACAAAGGGAACAGAATAACCAGAGAAAAAAACAACAACACTAATGACAAAAAAGACAAACGAGAGTCAAAAGGAATCGGAAATAACATCGAAGTATCATGCCATCACGCAGGTTCATCTTTTGAGTAAATTCGATATTTCCTTTACCTGAACATAACTTCACGTGTTATTAAACGAAGCTGAAAACGTGCGACGAGATAAAACAAAGCACTCAATAGGATTGCATGCGCATTCCAAGACTCAATGAAAGATATCAGTTAACTCGACGATAGCCACTTACACTTTTCTCGGACTTTTCTTTTCACTTATCAGCAAGACATCCCGTCTCGCATTCCTTCAGTTAAAGTATTTTTGTTTCCGTACACAGCGACCATTCAATTTTTCAATACCTTGGAAGTTTACCAATTTCTATTTCTGTTAGTGAGGTCAGCAGGTCGGTCAGCAGGACACTGATATAGCAATGAACAATAGTATAGTGACCAAACTTAAGGCATTAATCACGTTAAAATCTCATCTTTAAAGCCAACTTTTGACCTCAAATTCCTTCTAAGAGCTTCTGGGTATCAATTGTCTGATGAACTAGTCAATATTCTTCTTTTCTAAAATGTACAGATACGTAGAACCTGTACAGTACGACTTAAAAACCCAGGCGAACATGTGTATTTCCCGCACACACCAGGTTTGGTTCCGGCATGTTAATGATTACCGTTGTTGTGTTTTAGAAATCTCCAGCAGGACTGATCTCATCCTAAGTCAGATGTTCTGCTAATGTACCGGTAGTTATTGAAAGACAGAAATAATGCCAGTTTTTCCACTTTACCGGGATAAATGCTTTCAATAAGAGGGCTGAGTAGTTGTAATTGATCTTACCTTGACATAATGATTGACAGGATCCTGTTATTGTCACGTTTGATTGGCTTACATCCAATTGATGACAAACCAGTGGTCTGACTGCAGTTTATTTTGCTTCTGTGCCAGAAGGTTAAAAATCCGAAATCTTCATTTTACCCCTCATTTGTGTCTCGCAGTCCTTCCCCAGCACTTTCAGAGCCGAACCTTCATTCTGTGGGATCCTACTAAGTATGAAGACTTTTGTGAGTGTTTGTGTCCTTTTGTGCTTAGGTAAGTTTGATTTCTCGGTCCTGTATACAAAAGTTTAACGTTTAGTACTTGAGCTTACGATTAGGAAGGATGGATTTAGATGAAAAGCTAAAATGCTTGTAATACAAATCTGTTGGCGTTAAACAGAGGCCGGATCACCTTACAAAAAACTATCTTTATGTAGAGGGTAGGTGTTGTTTCACCTTAACTTTGTGTTTATCTATGATAGAATGAACATTTCCTTACCGAATGACAAACATTCATCCTGGATAACGCCGCAGAGAAATGCCAAAATTCATTCTGACCGCAGAAAAAATGTCACTTTAATAAGGGATCACTCCCCTTTCGATGGATTAGTTCAACAGTTTAATGATCATTTTAAAAACTTCGCGAGGGATCGATGCTTTTGTGTTTACACTGTGTTCACCCTGTTCGTAATGTTTTAGGCAAAGAGATTCTAGAATGTAACACTACACCCAATAACTTTGAAGTTTCAGACAACATAACCATCTGTTCATATCGCAGGTATGTGGGAGGGAGGGAGGGAAGGAGGGCAAAAGTAGACCCACTGGAGTAAGACTTTACCCAGTCTGTTCACGCTTTTTTTTTTCCTTTGAGAAGGATTATTTTTCAAAATTAAGTTATACCTTGCAGTTCCAGAATTTCATGCAGCCCCAAAGCTGACCTGTATACGATCTCTAAAGTGCCCCGTTATGCATCAGGGATGTTACGTGGTCGACGGTCTCTGCCGCTGTGATCAGGCGTTGTGTTGTAACAATCCCTTTAATTACTCAACACTGGAAAGCTGTTTGGCAGATAATGCGCTTCAGTTAGGTTGGTAACAAGATTGGTTACTTTACTTCCGGTAACAGACCAGCGAAAAACCCCTTAGATATTTCCAAAACTAAACACGAACCGAGGTTAGGGGTAAGTGCCATCCTAGACTGACACAACAAAGTGTTCCATCGGAAGGAATGCGTCAAATGATTACTTGTTCCATGAGAAGGAATGCGTCAAATGATTAATTGCTCCATAGGAAGGATTGCGTCGAATGCTCCCAAGCAATGTAACGATAACAACAAAGTTTTAAATTCTTATTATTCAGAGGATCCATGTAAAGATGATCCATGTAAGAACAATGGGTATTGTGTCCAACTGATGGGTCAGTCTTCCTACCGCTGTGATTGCTACGGTACAGGATATTTTGGACCTCACTGCCATAAAAGTAAGTAGCATTATCACCTCCTCTTGACTGGTGCTAAACGCCTGAAAATTTGGCTTGGGTCAGCTGAGAATTCTGCTGATAATTTTTTCATTTTTCTCATTATTAGAGTGCCCAAAAGATGCAAGAAAGGAAATATACAGTTTAAAAGGACAAACGGAAGAGCACGCTCGTAGTAGGAAGCGTTACCTTATGGCATGCCTTTAACTTACATATTCTTATGACAGAGTAACCATGGCTGATAGTAAAATGAAAGTTGTCAAAAGAATTTTGCTAGTAGATGTCAATATGGACAGTAAACGCCATACATAAGAAAAGATAACCAAGTTATAAACTGGATCTATTCATCGTCATTTTTTTACCTATGCTCTACAATGTCCAGAGTTGACAATCGAGATGCATCGATCGTGGCATCTGAGATAGCGCATAAAGAAAATTACTTTTTATATTATGTAGTTTAAAGTACATTAAGGACTTTTTCTATATAAATTAGAGAACAATTCTGTTGTGATCTGATCAAACTTGAGCTTTAAAATATGGAAGAGAAGTTTGGTTTTGAAAAAAAAAAGGACTTACTTGAGCAATAGAATAGTTAGGGAAATGATGATAGCAAAGTTGAAAAATGACTGCTATCCACGTCTTTACACTTCAGGCAGGTGAAACAGATGTTAAATTCACATCAGCTAGTAATTATCACTGTTAGGGTCTCTCCGCACAAGCGAAACACTTGTTTATTTAGAAAATTTTTTGCGGATGGTTTGCCGCGACTTGACAAAATTTGGGCGAGGTTGACAAATCCTCAGACGGACCGCCGACAAAATTTGTCCCCGGTAAAAACTAGAAAAATCGACTGAATAAACAAAACCGTGATAAACTTGTCGATCATTTGTCGTATAAGCTACTAATAGCATGTAATTGAACTAAAATCAATTTACTAGAGAGGCAAGAATTGTTTTTTGTTGCAAAACTCGGGGATTCTAAAATTTTTTAAAACGACTTAGGATTGATCCTGGAAATTGGAGCCGGGTGAATCCTTTGCTAAACTATGCTAGCCAGACTAGTGAACTGATCGGGCGCTGACGGAATTCGAACATGGTGTATTAGACAAGTAACTACAACCTTTTCTTTGAAACAAGCACCATGGCACAAATGGCCAGCGATGAGTTTTGGAAGTTTACTTGACATGTCAAGGCTTACCACTTGGGTACTCAAGGTGACAGAAGCACGTGGGAACGATTGAGCAAATGGTTATCTCACTTAAACTTCAGACCATAACTGCTATGACATAACAATGCTAGAGCTTGTTACATAATTTTATTATAACTTGTAGTTGACTACATTTTTCCTACTTGCCTAGGTGGCCACATCAGTCAAAGCTCTGAGGACTGTTACCTGGTCAACGCGTATGAATTGCTATTCTGACCATAACAAATATAATCTGTTAACTCTTATTAAATACTCAAAGAACCCAAACTCCCTGTACACATATTTATGTCTTTCAAAGGGGAACATTAGTGAACAGGTAAGAGACTGATTCACCATTGTGTGTTCTGCGAATAGCCTCGGCAAGGATCATGGAAATATCAATGCACTAGGACAAAACAGAAAGATAGGGAATTAAACAAATAAAAACAAGGAAAATCAAAATGAAATGCATTGCTGATACAGATTACGCTTCTGAAGGATTTTTCTTGCAGTGTTGATCATCCTATCAGTAGGAAAAGTTGTACAGTGTTAAGCCTGGAAAAACTGATCAATTGACAGAACTTTCATGAACACCAGTCATATGTGAGCTCAGTCACCTCTCCACTAATCTGTAAGTGAACCCTTTGCACCCCAACATCAGTATGCACATTTTCCAGGTTCTGACAAGGATAATTTGTTCAACAATCAAGAGCTTCTTCAGTTGGTAATCATTTTCTATATTCTCCAACCTAAACGTGTGATTCAGGGGTGATAATATATGGAGAAATTGGATGCTAGTAACTCTTAGGGATCAAGGGGCTGGGAGATTTCTTACCTTGATCTTTGCACAATTTTCCATTTTGCTTTCTTGTGGGATGGTATTTGTGACTACAACAGCTTCCAGATCACTTTCCTCAATTCTCCGCAGAGCAGGACCAGAGAAGATTCCATGTGTCAGTATAGCATAAACTTTGGCAGCACCAGCATCTCTCAGTCTGGTGGAATAACAAAAGGAACGGGTGAGCGCTTGAGAAATCCACCAACATAATAATAAAAAAAAATATGTTCCAAGTTCTCATTTTGTTGGGATGAGTGAGAAAGAGGAGAGGGAATACAAAGGATAGCAGCTCCACTACTTTCAAACTCCCTTCTCTCTTACTCCTCTCCATTGAACATTATTAACTTGGTAAAGGTGACATTAAAAACATTTGATGAAAAGAATACATTAACAAGTGATCAAGAAGTTCTTAGGACATTGGTCCATTTGCAATTTGTGGTGGAGAACTTACTTCTGAGCTGCAAGTGTTAGTGTTCCGCAGGTATCTGCCATGTCATCAACTAGTATTGCTGTACGATCTTTAACATCTCCAACAAGAACCATACTGGCCACTTCATTGGCAACTTTTCGCTGATTAGCAACAGATAAAAAGTAATTAGAGATGATCTTCTACACTACAAACAGATGCAAAATTAACAATTTTCATTCAAACAGACAAGAGTTTATTTTTCTGTGGGAGGAAAATCACATGTTCCCAAGGAGGCCAGTCTGAGATGGATTTCATGTTTCAGTCTGAAATGAGTTGTGCTGTGATTGTTTAATTTTATTTCCCAGTGCAACTGAGTGACTACTTTTTGGGAAATGAAAAACCAACAAAATAACAGCACATTCATCTATCATCTGAGCTGATAACATTAGAATAATTACTTGTTATATTGGACCAATAATGTGTGAATAGGTGTAGCACAACACATGGTAAACTCTTAAACTGCAAAGAGAACTATAATCATAAAGGGGGGGGGGGCAGCTTTTGATACTGAGGAATGTAATGAAATGATATTACACTTCCAACTGCATTAAAAACCAACTAAATCGCATCATGCTGTTTTTTACAAACCTTACCTCCTTATGAATCAAGGCAAAGCCAACATTCAAATGATCAGCTATGGATGTAACTCTGAAACAACAAAAGAAGTCAAGAAATACCATTGCTGAATAATTAAATTGGGTTTCATTGCATTCTAATTGAAAGCTAGATTGCTTGATCAAGGGCACCTTCACTGGCTTTCCCACAAGAAATGCATTTGAGTAAGCAAAAACACCAACTATTTTAAATTCTACATTGATAAAGAGCATTTGCTACCATCATACCCATACCAACTTACAAATGGTCTCCATGTACACAGAAGATACCTATGTTAACTGCATCAGTCCAAAGGTTGACCAAGGTGTTGTGCATTGTTTGAGATTAAGTATTGACAAAAAGAAAGAATATAAGAGTCTATAGCCAAGGAACTCCTGCAATGATACAAGTTGAGTTTGTAGCCTCCTGTCTGTGCAGTTCAGACCTTTTAGCTCCTCCAGCATCAGGCGAAACAATAACTGCTCGTTCCCACTCAGTAATGTGTTCTCTGATCCACCTTAACACTGCAGGCTCAGCATACAAATTGTCTACTGGTATATCAAAGAAACCCTGGAATGAAGAGAAGACCTGTATCATAAGTAATTTACCAAACTAATCCATGGAAAATAAACTGGCTCCACTTTCACTGCTAGATCAGTTTAACCCTTTAACTCCCTAACTGTCTGCCAAACAATCCTCATTATGTTGACTTGGAGAATTTGGTGTCAGATCAATTAGTAATCCCATAATTGATATCTTTCTTTATTCTCATCACTTGTCTGCATAGTATTGTATAGATATAGTAGAAAGAAATTCTCTCTTAGTCACTCATGGGAGTTAAAGGGTTAACTAAATTAAATCATTAATATCGTTGTTGGTAATTAATTAGTGGCAAGTAAGAATTGAAATACTTCCCTTTTTTAAACTAAAAATACTAACACTTTTCACTTAACAACCATTATTTTCTCGCTTCATATTATAAACTCTGTTTCTACCTCCAATCAGAAAATCAATGAACCTGAAATACACATAAGGGTATCTCAGTCTGCAATAGGTATTTATACAATTGCTTAAATAATAACAGGAATGTGCACACCCAAATTATGTCTCCCTTTCCTCACTTGCACCAAGTGATAATACTACAAAAGGAAACATTTCCAAAACGGCAGTCACACAAGTTCTTGATGTTTTATAAGCACACAAGTAAAATGAAAGACAATGCAGTTTCTCTGATAATCACCTGGGCAACATACTATACCAACTAGTCTCCTTGGGCTCAGTACAAATTGTCCAATAATCATCTCAACTGAACTCATTATGCCTTGAGTAATTAAGCTTCAAATAATTGTGGTGAGTTTTTCAACATTCATTAATTCTTGTTTATACCTGTATCTGTGAAGCATGAAGATCCATGGTAATAATATGATCTGCACCAGCTACTGAGAGCATGTTTGCCACCAGTTTAGCTGAAATTGGTGCACGACTCTACGACAGAAAGTTACTGGTTTTAGCACCTTAAAAAAACCATTAAGCAACATTTCCAGACAATACTGAATGATAAACAAAAGATTTCTAAGCATCAGCAATGAGAGAGTGAAGACCATTTAAGTTTATGAGTTAAAACGCCTTCCAGATTGTAATGAAGTTTTGTCTCAGCCCACATGTTTTGAGCCCAGGCCTTTGAGACAATTGTTAATGCTGCACTAAGGGGCTTGTTGTACTAAATACAGTAAATGGAAGTTTACTGTGCGTGTCTTCATTTGAACTAAACCTGTGACCAAGTTATTGCTTAGGGTTACAAAGTTTTGCATGAAACTTCCTTTAGGTATCAATAGCATGATTTCTACTGACCTTGTCCTTCTTATCTTGTCTTGCATATGGAAAGCAGGGAATAACAGCTGTGACTCGCTGGGCTGAAGCAATCTTACAAGCATTGATCATGATCAACAGTTCCATTAAATTATCATTCACATCACCGCAACCACTTTGCACTATAAAGACATCCTCTCCTCGCACTGATTCACCAATTTCAACACTACAGAACAATGAGAAAGTTCAATAAAACACAGTAACTCGGTCAGCAGCCGTGAAGTCAAAATGCTGCAGATGACATCAGAATTGACTACATTATTGAACAAACAATGTTGATAACCTTCTATGATTAATGAAAACCGAGATTAGTTCAGGTAGAACACTGGTACTCCTTTATGGTGTTTAATGCATGAACATTACCGCCGCTTCATTTTCGAGCAAAAAACAAACTCTACCCTCTGGAGAGGAAAACTGAAATAACACTTTCCCCTTATGTAGAAATTGGTATGTATATCACTTCCCTAAAAAAGAGAAATGACGACATCAGAACCAACTTTTCTGAGGTACAAGCAACGCTGACGACTATTCAGGTAACATTTATGATGAACTGTGACAGATAGACGAGTAACCACGTGCTAATAATTTAGCTCGTAGGAAATAAGTCTGTTCGTGAAACAAACCCTGACAAGTCACCACAGGTCTAACTGTCGCCAGTGAAACATGAAATCCAAAAGCAATGTTGGTAAATAAATCAGCAGACTGTGTATTTTGAGCAAACTTTACCGAAGAAATTCACTACGAGACTCGTATGATAGTGCTCAGCACCAGGAAGATTTTCCCATATCCTCATGTATTTTACGATCATTACTGAGAAATTTTCAGTTTTCCCAAAGTTGACCTTCGTTTCCGTTTTATCCCCATTATCACTCTTGATTTTTAAGTTAAAAGGTACAAAACACGACGCTGCATTTGTAAACTAGTTGAGCTCTTACGACATCACAAACCGAAGGAAGGCAGTAACAACGCACTCTCACCTGGTTTCCTTGTTCGAGAATTTTTTCAACACACACTTCCCCAGTTCATTCCCTAGCCGTTCTGAAATCAATTTCGCCAGTAGTTGATGAGAATTCCCTCCAAATATCTTTATGTTCGGCATGTTTGGAAAAATGTAACGATACAACACGTTCAGTGGGCAACTGAACGTGTTGGCGGCAAATGTACCAGGAGCGGTTACATGAATTGTGTGACAACAAAGTGACAAAGTGTAGGGAATGGGACGTGGAGAGGGAGGGGAGGCACAAGAGGATCAATTCTTTGCGTCCTCATATCTTCTGACACAATTTTCTTCGCTTGTGCTCAACAAGAGACAATGAACTGATCCTATCTTGTCCTAAATTAACAGAAATGATATTTGTTCCCAAAATTTCTCAGCGGTCGAAAATTTTCTCAAAGATGACCCGACTACTGGACAGAAAAGAAGCCCATCGTGACAGAATCAAGGCAGATTACAAGGAGAAGTAAACCAACGTAACATGAATAACTTTCAAGTGCAAGACAATAACGTGATTCTAAAAGGTTACCTTCCTTCGTCCTTGATCCATGCCTGTGCTTTCAAAAGACTAGTAAAGAGTTGAAAAATATGTCGTTCCAAGTCAGTGTAATATTTTAATTTATCTTTATTTTTCATCGGTTCAGTCTAATTTGCTGTTTAACAACAAGAGTGTAATGACAAAAAAGTTTCTTTATATTTCAGTTCTTCTCATTCTATAGTAATTTATCAATCATAATATTCAGGCTACGCCTATGCTAAGCACAAAAGTACAAAGAGGGTACAGAGTATTGTCTTGCAAAAAAGAAAAAAAAATCGAGAAAAATTGGATGTCCCAAAGTCAGGTTGTGACGTCGTAGTGCATGTTGCGGCGAGGAGAAAGGCAGAACAAGCAGTTGTCTGAACTGCCAGCATGGGAAACGTCGCCACGCCTTGCCGAGGGTTAAAAATTCTTAGAAATATTCATGTTATTTCTTTACGTCTGAAGTGTTGGTCAATCTGCCCTCACGTGGGTTAACAGGGTTATTACCAATTTCATCTTTTACTGGGCTTTTTTGCCGATGGAGGCCTAGGAGATTTTGTAGTTGGTGTTGACGGCCGCATGGGATACTGGGCCAAGATAGCTTTGCGGGGTGCTTTTGCCGTTGATTTTTTCTTTCCTTGTTGTTTTTTGTCGTTTTGTTTCGCCGCAGCTGATCCTGGTCGAAGCAAGTCCTGAATCTCATCGCTCTCCTTTCCTGCACCAGCCACAACTTCCAAACATTTCAGTAGGTTGGTTTGTTCCAAGTCTTTTTTAGACAACATTTGCATAATATCCCTTCCATCGTCGAGTGGATTTAGCCAAGTAGATTTACGAACGTCAGATAATTTCATTTTTGTACCTTTTGGAACGTAAATCTGAAATAATACCTCTACAGCTTCAGCTTTGGTCAGAGCACGACCTTTGGCAGACACTGAGGGAAACAAGAAAAGCTGGGGTTAGAGTCCCATGCGACGTAAAGAGGTGTTATACTGTTAGCAGTGTAACATAAGTTCCTTTATGATCAGAAGACTCAACGGCAAAC